CGGTTATCTAATAAGCATGTGTCCTATTCTGTGTACTAAACTCCTGAAACATTGGTGTCTCTTTGTATATGATATGATAGTTTTCTCAAAATAAGTAAAATGCTCATGAAGTTACTCAGAGTGGTTCTAGAGATTATGTTTATGTGTTCATGTACTCATATTGAGGCGGCAGAGGCTGAAAACACTGCGAGCTTCAGTAGGCCTATGTGTAGTAAATGAAACCGCATGTCTGCGCTAGTGATGTCCGGTTTGCGAACGAATCGTTCGATTTAACCGGTTCTTCTTAGTGAACCGGTTGAACCAGTTCACCAAATCGGCCTGAATCGTTTGAAACAGTTCGCGTCTCCAGTATGCATTAATCCACAAATTACTTAAATTATTCACTTTTTTTAACGTGGCTGACACTCCCTCCGAGTCGAAATAAACCAATATCCCGGAGTAATTAATTTACTCAGACAGTACACTGACTGAACTGCTGTGAAGAGAGAACTGAAGATGAACACGAGCAGAGCAGCATGTGTGCAGCGAGCCGGATAACGAACGTACATGCCCACTGTTGGAGCAGTTGTCGTTCTCGAGTCAAGAACCGGTTGCATCGGTTTTCGGATCACCAGTACACTGAACAGAGATACGTTTCTTTCGGACACATCTGATATGAGAACCGATGAGCTGATTCTCGTTCTCGAGTCAAGAAACGGGTGCATCGACTTGAATGAAGGGCAATCTGGCGAAACGTAAGTTTATTTAATAACAAATAAATCGCAATGGATTATGTATAGTAAGTGGATTATGGTTTCTGTGCTGATGACAACTAATTTATTTACTTTATATCTTCAAGACTTAAATCCTCGTATGCACATCACTGCCTGTTACTGTATTTGGGTGCTTAGTTGCAAAACTTAATTGTAAACTTTTCAGATCATGATTATGATGTTTTAACTGACTGAATTATGAATACTAACTTTATATATTTGAATGTGTATTTTCATCCCGGCCCGGGACGATAGACTTGATATCATTACGTCATCG